CACTCAGGGAGGATGAAGTGAGTTGTGGAGCACTACAGTTGCTGCAATCCATAAATGGAACTGCTCTATATGTGTGCCAGCTTTCCAAACACACTAAAAACGCATTGCTATTCCATAAAACTTCAGCCCTTTTAAAGAAAATAAATGTAGGCATGTAGTTTGAATGCCACCTCCTGGCCATAATGGGGACTACATCAGTGAGAGTCTTGGGCCCAGTGGCGTCTATATTTGGGTGGGAGGGAACATTGGCTGTGACCTGGACTTGAAGGGACCTTAGATAAGATAAGGCAGTGTTTTTTCACTTCATTATACTTTCCTGGCACATAAAACTGGACATCTTAGGTATATCAAATGTAAACCCGAGATTGGAGACCAATTCCAGTCTAAGGCTAACATAAAGCAGCCTCATTAGATAGAGATGGTGGAGCTCTGTGTGTAAACACACACACACACACACACACACACACACACACACACCACACACACACACACACACACACAGAGAGGCATGCACACAGCATCAGAATAGATTACATTCGTCTTTACTACTCCAGAAACTCAACAAAATGACTACTTCTCCTGAAGTATGGAAGGTGTATAATCCTTTATCCAAAGCGCGATTGTGGGTTCGAGCATGCCTGTGAGTGCGTGAGCAATTGTGTGTGTGTGTGTTTGTGTGTGTGCGCGCGCGTGAGGTCAGGGGACAGAAGACAGCCTCCGGTGCTGTAACTCAGGCGCCATCCCCCTGATGTTTTTCTTAGACAAGGTTTCCAACTGGCCTGGAACACGCAAGGCAGGATGGGTTAGCTCGTCAGCACACTCCAGGGATGGGCTCGCCTCCACCTTCACACATAAGCATGTCCCGCCACACCTGCTACTTTTCCTCCTGTAGTTTATCTTCATTTTCTGGATGATGCTCTCTGGGAATGACACTCAAGGCCTCATGCCCACAAGGCCAGCACTTTACTGATTTAGCTGTCTCCCCAGCCCTACTTTTACCACCCAAGCACAAGTATTTTCTCAGATTACACTTTAAAGTACTTTCCTTCCTGGATACGAAATTTCAAACACCACAGGAAAGCACATGTACTAACATAAGTAAATCTGTGTCTGTCACCGGGCTTATTCCTACCCCTAAGGCACAGGGCTGTCTGCAGGGAAATCTCCAGAGAGTGTGCTATCTGAGTAGAGTGCCAGCCACCATTTTCTGTGCGCCTTGCTGTATGTGGTGGTGAGGAAGTCACTTCCCCATTTAGGGGATGGTAATCTTTAATGTGTCTGCCAGGGACACACAGGGCTCTGCCTAACATCCAGTGAAAAGAGGATGGTTTCCCATGACAGAACTAAGCTGAAACTTTCCCACAGTGAATGGAATGATAATAGTCCTGCTAACTATTTTGTGTGTTTAGTGCAGAGTCTCAGAGCAGCCCAGCCCAGCCTGGGACTCTTCCCCTTCCTCCCTCAGCCTTCAGAGTGCTGCTGGTCCTCCCAGCTTACCACACTGCCCCAGCTCAAGTATTCATTTTAATGTAAACACATTCTTAATGCTACTGTTTTCTTCTCGGCCCAGTAACATTTTCATTCCATTTCTACATGTATATTGTTGAATTCCCACGAAATAAGTAATTTTATCATTGATTTCCCTGCAAAAAATTATTTTATAATGATCCACATCTCTTGAAAAACCATGTACTCTAAGATTGTTTTCCAAAGAAATTTCACATTTTCTGAGATATTATTGGTTTTTGTTTGGTTTTCATTTTGAGGCAGGGCCTCTCTATGCTATTCAGGCTGTTCTGAAACTTCTTAGCAGTAATGATCCTGTAACCCCAGTGTTCAAATAGCTGGAAGTGCACGCATTTGACACATAATGCGAATGAAAACTGTTCTCATTATTGCCTGGCATTTGAGCATTTTTCTTTAATGTTTCACAGCAATTATTTTAATTTGTAAATGATTTTAAGGCAAAGAATGTGCATAACTTAATAATAATTATGTTGTGTATATTTGTGTGTGTATTTACACATTAATGCACGTGCCTACAAAGGTCAGGAGAGGTCATACCTTCCTGGAGCTGAGGTACGGTCCATCACGGATTTTGGAAATGGATGCTGGAAACAGACCTTGCGTCCTCAGCAAGAATAGAATGCACTCTTAACCACTGAACATCTCTCCAGCAAGACTGTAGACTGTTAAAGTCCATTAGCCATTATAATGTTCATATTTTAAATTCCACTGTGTTTTCCCCTTGGTTCAATGACCTGGAGCTGATTCTTCTTTTTTCTTGTTTAGATTTATTTTTACTTTTAATTATGTCTGTCTGTCTGTATGTCTGTCTGTCGTATGCACATGATGGGCAGAGGCATTGACTCCTGATGGAGCTGGAGTTAAAGACAGTTGTGAGCTATCTGCCATGGGTGCTGGGACCCATACTCTCATAAACAGTAATGACTCTCACATCTCTTTCCTCCTGCCTCTACGTCTTGAGTGCTGGTATTACAGGTGAGGGTGAACATGCCCAGAGGGTCAAAGAACACAGAGCAATTTCCATTCTAGGCAATCATTCTGCCTCGAGAGCTATGTCGCCAGTCCCCATACTGTGGCTTTTTAAATTCACCAGTGATTTCTTTTCATGGTATAGCATTCTCATTGAACAGCTACCAGAAAAATCAAGAATATAGCTGGGAATGTTCTGCACTGCCAGGGGAGCCATACCAGTGTCTAGGGACCACTTTTAAAAATCCCCACATGTGCTCCCACCACAGTTTTGAAGAGCTTCGGACAGGGCCACAGATGCTGGGCAGATCTAAGTGCTGCAGCATCCTCGAGTCCAGCCTCTGGCAAGGACATCCTGTTCCCGAGAGCAAGTCTCCTGAGAGCAAACCTACCTTACATGCCCAGCTTCCTCAAAGGTCAGCAACAAGGGACTGGAGGCTGCTGTTGTATTCTCTGTGGTTGTGTGTGCAGAACAATGACCCAGACCCTGCAGAAGAATCACAAAACAGGAAAAAGGTTGGTCAAAGAATCAGACACATCCTTAAGCTCAGTGCTGAAGACATAAAAAAAGAAAATTTGGAAATATAGCATAGTGTGTGGATATAGAAATGACGGAGAAAGAAGAACAGGATTTCCCTTGCACGGAGATGTGAGTGTGGGTGTCGTGATGTGGGGCTGTGCCTCCCTAGGAGTATGGGGACAATGATGAAGGGATCCCAGACATATCTGAGAAGCCGGATTCTGTGTTTGGATATCTGTACAGCAGTGGTTCTCAGCCTTCCTAATGCTGTGACATGACTCTTAATACAGTCCCTCATGTGTGTTGATCCCAACCAGAAAATCATTTCTGTTGCTACTTCATCGCTGTAAAGTTGTTACAGGTAAGAATCACAATGGAAATAGTTTGGGGGATAGACGTTTGGGGGGGGGATAGATAGTTTGGGGGATAGAGGTCACAAGTCACAGGCTGAGAACCACTGTTCTAGAGTCAGAGAGATGTGGAACCTTCCTAGGCCCAGCAACTTTGCTTCCCTGAGCCTGGATGTGCTGGACCCATTTTCCAAACACAGGCTGGGCATATCTGTGAGGACGAAACAGAGTGAGCTGTGATCTCTGAGCTGTGCTTACCACTCTGAATTGAGAGCATTAGAATGCTCACTCATTGATTTTATGGGCCTTTAGTTACAACATCTGCTCTAAATGCCAGTCAGAAGTTCCTGCATATGTGACAGACTAATGTTGATGTATGCAATTGGAATTACAGGCTGGCCTTGCACTCAGACATCATACTGCTCTGTCTCGTGAGTCCTGGGATTAAATGTGTGTGCCACGCCCACCTGTCAAAAATACGCATTTCTAAAGGCAGTAGTCTCCTGGAGAAAGAATAGGGACAAGCAGGAGCTGCAGCACCTAGAGACTGATTTCACTTTGACTCTGCCTAAAGCCTACTCGCTTCATCCGTAAAACTGCCAAGAGCAGTACATGCTGTAGAACAACCACTTTCAAAAATACTTTAAACGTTAGGTTTGCTTTTCGTTAGACAAATGTTAGATTCTTATTCTTTTGGAAATTCTTCTACAGTTAGTTTTACTTAGAAAAGTTTACATCTGAAAATTATTCATCAGCTGACACGTTGTTAAATTACTAAGTTTTACAACAACTAGTTTGGGTATTCAAATTACCCTGTGTCAAATACACGTGGAACAACTGATGTCAGTAAACGGAAGCACTGTGTCTCCAAGTGGTCAGACAAATCCAGAGATGTTAGAGCAACGTCTCCACAAGGAAAATGCACAGCGCATACAGGTGCTATCTGCCTTCTCCCAGACAAGGCTGCACAGGGCAGCTCTCACGCTGATCACTGCAGCAAGGCTTCATCCCTCTTTCAATCCACTTCCATCCCTCCCCTGTCTTCTGAACCATCTCCACTGTCTCCACACACTCCCTCATCCCGCCCTCCCCAGGCCTTTCTCTGTGCAGTGCCAAGTCACCTTCCACCAAAAGGAATCAAATCATGTCAATTCCATAACTCACCTTCCACACTGATCATATAATCCAAATGTCATAGTCAGCTGAAAACGACACACATCTTCCTTTCTACCCTATCCCCAAGCAGTGTCCACATTGTCTTCAAGGCTCTGGCCACTGGCCTTGTCCCCTGCTCTTAGATCCACTGTTCTCCATGGGGGCAAGCACGCCCATAACATGGCTTATGCATGGCCTTGCTTCTTTTTGTCATTCAGGACTCAGATCACATGCTAACTTCTGAAAACTTTAGGGGGTAACATCACGTACCACAATCTCCATCACAACTATTTCCTGTCCCCTTTATGATCTTTAAAGCGCCAATAATACATGGAATTGCTCTGATTACTGATTTCTTCTGCTTACTGACAGTTTGCCTATCTAACACAAAATACAGGAACCCGTGCTAGTCTTCACAGTGCAGGAACAAGGTGCTCACAAAAGAGGCCAGTATGTGAATATCTGGATAAATATATATGAAGGAATTGATGCGTATTTGACATGCCATGTAACACACTGGTATTTACGGGAGTAGCAAGAGAACACGGTATGGAATTAAGCAGTCTGTGACTCCATATCCTAGAAGACAGAATAACAAACACAGTAGCAATACTTTTTAACATGGACAGCCATCAGAAAGAAGTGGCTATGCCACACCACACTTCACAGGGTTTGATTCGGTGTCTAGTGTGGACCCAGATTTCTACCATTTTAATAAGCACTCCCTGCAAATGTGATGCAGAAATGCATGACCCATTCAGGAAATGGTCTGATGGGGATGGCTTCCATTTCAGTCCTGGACATTTAAAGGGACCCCTACAGGGTTCAGTCATCTGGGGAGTCTATGAATACCATTGATCCACAGTGTGCTGCTATTGCTGCTACCTGCTCAACAGGATGTGTTCCTACAAGGCATCACAGATCCCCTGGTGGTCACACGGATGGGAAGAGAAAAGGAAATGACTCACCTGGTGAGTCCCACATGATCTTGTCACTCTTGCTCAGGTAACAGGCTGACAAGACCACACCACACTTGGTTCTTCTCCAGGAGCTGGTTTTGCATGGAGAGTTCACTGTTTTCTCCCCTGTTCTACTAGAAGGCAGAGTAAGGGGAGAGAAATCTCATGGGGAGGGGAAGAAGGCAGATGAGAACGCTCATGCACTCTACTGTAGTGAATATAGGGATGGAGTAGTCTGTCTGCATCCAGTCAAGTCAACGATGTGCAGTGACATCTTCCTCTTCTTTGTTCATCTCACAGACCCTTCCTATACACACCCATGTACACATCACACACACACACACACACACACACACTCACACACACACACTCACACTGGTGGCACTGATGACTCACATACTGGAAACAAGGGCTCATGTCAGCTTCTTGTCAACCTTCTGCGTGTTCTCTCTGCCTTCCTGTTGTTCTTATCATAGAAGAGACCTGATATTGACAGAAAGAGGAGACAAAGTGTCACTGACAGCTAGCATTTGGTGATCACTGTCTTCTGGGGGTGGTCAGATAATCCAGAATTCTAGACAGATAACAAGTGAAGAGCAGGTCCACTTGAATGTGTGTCCTTGCACGGGCATGTTATGGGATAATTTAAGCATCACAGTATATAATGATGACAAAGTGGTACTCCTTTAAAAAATGGGTGTTTCTGAGTGGACACAAATGCATGAGTAAATCCATTAATAAACAAAAGATAAAAGGGAAACTTTACTCAAAGACAAGCAATGCTTGTATACTAGTAACTGCACAGGGAAGTAGGTATCAGAGCAACACTTAGCAGGCGTCATGGTAATAATCCATATGGCAAGACCCATCCATAAAACACCCCCTCTGTAAACAGTCTACAGCAGACACTGCTAAAATCTGCATGACTGGATGGGAAAACAAGAGGGAAAACACACGAGTACTAACCTTGACCCTTTTGTGTTGGCAAAAATATTATTAGATATTTTGAAAAAAGTTACCTTATTATTCTACATAATACAAATCTTTCTGGAGTTACACATACATACCTAACTCTTCACATGTATCCCCTTCTTTCTCTCCACTGTGATCTCAACACCTACCTGATGGAGCTGGCTGGGAGGTGAAGGAGTATCTCTATGATTCCAAAGATTCCATTTGGGCAAACATTAGACCTGTGGCTGCCTTAGAAAATTTCCCCCAAACTGGGTGTTGGACATTTGTTTCTTTTCTCATAATTAACTTGCAACTTCAAAATACTGAAATTGAAACATAAGCAAATATATGTTTTCAAAGACATTTTCATCATAAAGAAAGAAACCTGACATTTCAACCTAAAAGAGAGCTTTTGTTAAAATCTACCCACAGACATTTGACCACAGTGAAATGTGTGGAAGCTGTAATTTAAAATCCCTGTCACTGGAGATAGCATCAGGAAATATGAAATAATTAGAAAAACTCTGCCCGCTTCTCTGTTGTGCCTAGACACTGAATGGGACAAATCATTGCTGAGAGTAATGATGTATAGATTCGTCGACTGTGGTGATATTTTGTTTGTCCTATGACAATAAAGCTTGCCTGAGAATCAGTGTGTGCAGATAGCCACTAGTTAGCCAGAGAGGACAGGCAGTGTTGGAACTCACCTTTCCCAACACTCAGGAGGTACAGGCAAATGGATCTCTGCGAGTTCAAGGCCACCCTGGGATACACTAGATTGATCCAGTCTAAAACAGAGAGAGAGTCAGGCACTGGTGGCTCACACTTTTCTTCCCAGGGTTTGTTGAAGAGAGGAATATAAGGTGGGAGGAGATAGGAGATCCAGGCATTCAGTCTGAGGTCTTGTAGAGACAGGATGCTCCATTTGGTCTGAGGATTTCATAGAGGAAAGAACTGGAAGCTGGCTGCTTTGCTGTTCTGATCTTATAGATTCAACCTCGTAATATCTGACTCCAGATTTTATTATTAAGACCAATTAGAATTCACTCTGCAATCACCTTCATGCAATGGAAGATACAGGTGTCTGTTCTCCTCAAAAAGACCTATAGATCCAGTGCAATACCAACAGAAATCTAACAGACTTTTCATAAACTAATGGGCTTATCCTGAAACTCATAGTGAATATGAAAAACCAGAGCATGAAAACACCTTCAAAAGGAAAAATCTTGGAGGATGAACACATGACTTCCAGACTCCTTATAAACCTAGAGAAATGAAGACAGCGTGCCTGAGTGGTAATGACAATAAGACAGAAAAGAATATGAAGGGGACAGAAGAGTCACACACGTGTGACACACCTTTAGCAAAGACACAAAGACACTTCAATGAAGCAGGAATATGCTGGTCACCGAGGTTTTTTGGGACTCCCTGTAGTGGTAGGGAGGAGCAGCCCAGCATCGTGACCTTCAGCCTGAGGATCACCCTGTCCTTTGATGACCTTGACCCTGGTAAACTGGGTCTAGGCTGCAGAAAAAACTTTCAGAAAAAGCCAGGATGAAGCAAAGGTTGTGAGCTTATTAATCCTGTGGATAGAAGCTCACACAGAATAAGGATGGCTCATGCATGACGGCCTGAGTGAGGACTAGAGAGAGACACTTGAGATTAGGTGTCAGTACAAAGGGTGTGTGAGGAGGGCAGAAGAGTGAGAAATGTGAAGATTTTTATGGCTCTCAGAGTTACATTGTTTTAAAATTACATGTAAGAATACTTTGAGTCTTTAAATAGGTTCTGTTTTCCCATTAGGAAAAATATACAATATGTTATTAAAAGGTCAAAAATAAAAAAATAATCTTTTGAAATGTTCTTATCGCTTTTAAAATTTCTTTTAGTAAATTAAATTTAAGGTTAATATGTGATTTTACAAGTATTCTTGTCCTAAGTAAGCACAATTAATTAATTTATTTATATTTGTTGAATATTTTTCCATAGGGAAGTTTGTGCACCACATGAGTGAGTACCTACTGCTCACAGAGGGAACCAGAGTTTGAGATGTCTTGGAACTGGAGTTACAAACAGTGTCAACCATTGGGTAGGTGCTGGGTATCAACTCTGGATCCTCTGGAAGACATTCAGAAATATAAAAGAATGAACCCTATCTTCAGACCCCAGTTTGTTTGTTTTTATTTTTAAACTTACTTTGAGATGTTTTTAGGGATAGTTGCATCATATCTGCAGGTAATTTTGGCTCTATCAGTTGGGCTGAGGCTTCTTGAATGTCCTAAAAATGTAAAAATGATCACAGGATGAGGGGCTGTGTGTTCCCTCTCATATCCCCTTCAATGCCCTGTCTTCTGTCTTATTTTGGGACAAGCAGACATCCCCATGCACAAATATAAATATAGACAAGTTGTTTATCTCAGGATACAAAAGTCAACCCAAAACAAACAAAGGATCTACACAGGACTAGAGACATCTCCGAGGTTAAGAGTGCCTTTGGCTATTGCAGATGACCTGACTTCAGTTTCCAGCACCCATATGGTGGCCGACAGATGCCTATAACTGCAGAGCCAGGGGAACTGACAGTCTTTTCTAGTCTCTGTGGACATCGGCACTCAAATGCGCATATCGTACACACAGACATACAGGCAGACACTCAGTACATAGTGAAAAGAAATCTAAAAGATAATTGATCAAGAATACAACCTAGAGCCTGGAGAGATGGCTCAGTGGTCAAGAGCTCTTCCAAAGGTCCTGAGTTCAATTCCCGGCAACCACATGGTGGCTCACAACCATTTGTAAAGAGGTCTGGTGCCCTCTTCTGGCCTGCAGACATGCACACAGAATATTGTATACATAATAAATAAATAAATATTTTTTTGAAAAGAATACAACCTAAACATGAATCGTGTAGGAGAAAACGAATGAATTACAGACTAACTTCTTAGATATAACAAACCTCCTTTCATTAAATGAACAACTGGATTGTTAAGAACTCCATAAAGTGAGAAAATGTCCACTCTTCCAAATATATGTTAGTAACATATTTTTCCTGCCTGGGAAAATGAATGTGGGAACTTGTTTATCAGGTGACAGTCTTACTGTTTCCAGATTTCCCAAACCTCAAAAAGAGCCAGTAAGAAAATAGACATTTCAGAAAATAAAAGTTGGCCAGAAGGGTGAGTAGATGCTCCACTAAGAGAAACATACAGCCACAACATGCTTAACACTTAGGGAAGAGAGACAGGTGACTCTGAGGGGACTCTTGACACACCCATAAAATACTCAGAAATAAAGACTTGTCATACAAAGACCTGGCAGGTTGTGGAGGATGAAACTCTCATACCCACTGCTGGTGGCCATGGAAAACAGGACAGAGACTTGGAAAAGTATTTCCCAATTTCTTGATATGTTAATTGTCATCTGACCATCACATTCCCAAATATATAACCTGGAGGAAGAGGACATATTTTCTTTTAATGACTTATTTATTTCAGTTCACACCAGCTTTATATAAAAGACACTGAAATTGAAAACAACCTAAACAACAGGCTACAGGTAAATGACTCATTTCCCAAGACTGTCATGGCAGCTCCCAACTGTAACTCCAGTGCCAAGGGATCCAGTACCCTCTCTTTGCATCCATGGGCACCAGGCATGCATGTGCTCTTCATACCTATATGTAGGCAAACATATATACATATAAAATAAAAATAAATTATAAAATTTTCTGTGTAGCTATACATTGCTACACCATTTAATATTAAGAATGAACAATTATCATAGGCAACAAAATAGATAAATTTAAACATATATTCAAGATGAATGAAGGCCAGATGTCTCTAAACTCTGGTTCTATTCTAATACATTCCAGCATATATATTAATTTGTCTATAATATCAGATTGTTTTTTTTTTGAGACAGGGTTTCTCTGTGGTTTTGGAGCCTGTCCTGGAACCAGCTCTGTAGACCAGGCTGGTCTCGAACTCACAGAGATCCGCCTGCCTCTGCCTCCCGAGTGCTGGTATAATATCAGATTGTTGTAATTTCCTGCAGACAGGGTAGGGCAGTGGTTGGGAGTGAAAACCTAACTAACATAGAAATGAAACTTTATGGATTGGTAAATAATGAAACTTTTACCTACCTGAGTATAAGAAGATGTCTATTGTCATTATGGGGAAAAGTAGAAAAATAGTAATTACGTTTAATATTTGATGACTTGGACTGCAGAGATGGCCCCATGGTTAAGAGGACTTGCTGCTCTTACAGAAGACCCAGACTGGGTTCTCAGCACTCACTTGCTGGCCCACAATGGACTGCATATCTGTTTCTAGGGGAGCAACACCCGTTTCTGTCCAAAGCAGCACACCCTAATCCTGAAACCAGAGCAAAAGAAACATACACTGACCCTGAGACTAGAATCAGTTCACTGGCCCTGAAACCAGAGTCCAACGTTTAAAAAAGGCCAGTGAAATAAACACATTTGCCCCTGAAACCAAAGCTACAGAAACACACTCTTCCACTTACCAATTCGGCAAAACAAACTAACCAATATCTCAGCATTAAACCAACCAATCCCTGAGCAGGAAAACCAGCAGATCATTGAGCATGAAACCACCCTGTACCTGTTCAGTTGGGAGCTGCCTTTCCCACTTTTGCAGGGTCAGCCACCTCCTGGACTCTTCCCTCCCAGTGAATCTCTTGAATGAGGCTTGGGTGAGACCTTCTTTGCCTAAGAAGAACAGAGAAGCAATGACTTCAACTGGAGACGAGTGGAGGAGAGGGGAGCAGAACTGGAAAAGCTTCTCCTAGCAGAGTAGAGTTGTTACTCTTCTGAGGATCTGAGCAGAGCTGTAACAACTTTGCTAGGGAAACCCTCCCCTACCAGAGCAGAGCTGTTAATTTGGGAAAAACTTTCCCTGAAGCAGGGCTGTGAGCTTCTAAGTTTAAGGTGAATTTGTGGTATTCCTTGGCTCCTGACTGCCAGGATCCCTTTCCATCTGAGCAGCAATGCTTACAATATACACACAATTTTTAAAACATTGCAGTCATTGGGTGCCGGGAAGATATCCCCAGGCTGCCTGACACCATTCTGTTCAGGCAGGTGCCACACACCCACAGGCAAGCCTGCATTGTCAAAGCCTGGGCTGGGGAAGACATTCACAGGTCGACCCGCTACTTCCAGGAAGCCATTATGGTGAGCAAAATGTGTGGTGGAGAAATGGGAGAGAAAGAGCAACAGAACTAGCTATGATAAACGGTGCAATGAAGGATGTGAAGGCAGTGAGGAACAGACTGAGGAACAACCTAAATACCTTCAAGCTCAGGAACATGGATTCAAAACAAACTTCTTACCCAGACCCAGAAAAACAAATGTAATATGTACTCTCTCATGAGTGACTTTTGGATAAAAAGCAAAGAAAAACCAGCCTACTTTCCACAACCCCAGACAACCTAGACAAGAAAGAGAGACATTGCTGGTCTACATAGGAAGGAGAAAAAGACAAGAATTCCTGAGAAAACTGGCCATGGGGGGGGGGTCAAAGGAGAGGAGGAAGGGGAGAGTATAGGAAGGTAGGAAAGCAGAGCTAAATGTATAGCTCAATAAAAGCAATAAAAACCAAACTTCTTAGATATAACAAACCTCTTTTTATAAGTTGAGAAGCTTGTTGTTAGGACGTCCATCAAGTGTCAGCTGTATGCTCTTCCACGTAATGGTTGATAAATGAAGACAATGCCCTGATGGGGAATTCAAGTTTGAAAACCATGCACCAGATTAAGGAATCCTTGTATCTAGGATACAGAACATCTCACAGACATCATTAAGGTAAGTGCTACCTATGGCTTTTCATGTAATAGAATAGAGATGATTCTAAGTGACCAAGAGTATTGATTTCATAATAAATGTAAATGTATATGAATACATCAAGCAAAGAAAAATACTCTTCAGGTTACCTGTTAAGATAAAATCTTAACACCAAAACATGGACGCCTGGTAGTCCAATGACCCGCGGACAAAAGGGGGGTCTTGGGGGGCAGGGCGGGGACAAGTAGAACACAGGACACCATGCCAACAAGCTGAAGGTGCACGTGCTCCCTTTCGGGGGTCCTTGAGGCCTGCCCGGTTGGCAGACACTCACCTCTCTGGGTGGGTAGCCTTAATGTAGGAGCAGAAAACTGTTCCTGAGCAAAGAACCTTTCAGAAAACGCAGGCTTTGGGGGGAGGCCGTGTGTAAGAAAGACAGCCCTGCAGAAGGAGCTGGGGGAGGGGGGTTTGTGCTCTTTTCCTGGACAATCTGCCCCTGGATAGCACACACTCACCCGTCCAGATGGAACTCCTCAGCACATAAACAGGGTCGCCTGGTAGCCCAATGATCCTAGACCAGGATGGAGGGGGGAGGACTTTGGACTTTCCACAGGGCAGGGAACACTGACTGCTCTTCAGACTGGAGAGGGAGGGGGAGAGGAGTGGGTGGAGGGGGAGAGGAGTGGGAGGAGGTAGAGGGAAATGGGAGGCAGGGAGGAGGCGGAAATTTTTTTCAATAAAAAATAAAAAATAAAATAAAATAAAACATAATTGACAGAAAAAAAGATAAAATCTTAAAATACTGACTTTTAAGCACATATCCCTTAAATGTTACACTGAACACTTAGAAATGAACAAAAAATAATAGCCAATTACAAATAAAAGGTAACCTGAGATAAAAATTCTGATATTTGAGAAATGCTTAAAAGAATATGCAATTAAGAGATATTTTTGAAACCCACAATAATTCTATGGGCTCAACTTTAGTGGCAAAATGTTACTTTTTCAAGAAATATACCAATAATGTGGCATTTTTTTGAGGAATGTGATGGCTAATCTTGGTTGTCACTAAGACTATATCTGAAATCAACTAAAACTCAAGTATCTGGACTCTCCTGTGAGAGATTTTCTTGATTGGATCATGTGAGGTGAGAATATTCACCCTAATCATCATCTCTGTTGGAAGTCCACATCAAAGGACGTGGAAGAGGAAAGCTTTTATTTTTGCTTGCTCTCATTCTTATCAGCAATGTCATCTACCCTGCTTCTGAGGCATCCCTTTGTTGGAGTTAGAACCTACATTTTTGTGACTCCAATAGTGACTGAAGAAAAGTAGCAGGTCCCTAAGAATCCTCTAGATCTCCAGTGCCAAACTGGGACTGCTAAGACATCCAGTCTTGTTGACTGAAC